ACAGGACGTCAACATGTGTAGGGCTAAATGTAAGGTTGAACAGGACGTCAACATGTGTAGAGCTAAATGTAAGGTTCAACAGGACGTCAACATGTGTAGAGCTAAATTTAAGGTTCAAGAGGACGTCAAAATGTGTAGAGCTAAATGTAAGGTTCAAGAGGACGTCAACATGTGTAGAGCTAAATGCACGGTTAAAGAGGACGTCAACATGTGTAGAGCTAAATGTAAGGTTAAAGAGGACGTCAACATGTGTAGAGCTAAATGTACGGTTAAAGAGGACGTCAACATGTGTAGAGCTAAATGCACGGTTAAAGAGGACGTCAACATGTGTAGAGCTAAATGTAAGGTTCAAGAGGACGTCAACATGTGTAGAGCTAAATGTAAGGTTCAAGAGAACGTCAACATGTGTAGAGCTAAATGTAAGGTTCAAGAGGACGTCAACATGTGTAGAGCTAAATGTAAGGTTCAAGAGAACGTCAACATGTGTAGAGCTAAATGTAAGGTTCAAGAGGACGTCAACGTGTGTAGAGCTAAATGTAAGGTTCAAGAGGACGTCAACATGTGTAGAGCTAAATGTAAGGTTCAAGAGGAAGGTATCATGCGTTGAGACAAAGCCCCTTGACTTAATTAGTTAGATGCTCTATCGACCACACTAAATGACTGGATCTCCACCTTTGCCTGATGCGTATCAAAGTTTTGTTGGATGAAACCATGGAAACGATTAATAAATGATTAATTAAGCGTGTCTGTGTATTGATGATCTCATTGCATCATGTCATGGAGAATAGGGGGCGTAAATCAAGAGCTGGAGACCAATCCTGTGAGTGAGCGCATTGACCACAAAATTATGTCCCTGTTTCACAGCTGTTTAGACAGCTCTGCACCTGAATATCTTCAAAAAACTGATTTCTAAACATGTATCCTTACCGAACCTGCGCTCGTCAACAATGTCCTTACTGCGGGTTCAGGTTTTATTTAAAGAGATTTGTACTGTGGCGCCTCCAGTAATAAACAACTTAACAAGCTGACCAAGTTTTGGATTTTAGCCCCCCACCCCAACCCAGTAAGAAGCTTAAATGACACCCTTGTGTCTTAGTCTAAGGGCCGCATAGATTGTGTTCAACTTAAGGTTGTCAATTTGTATGATCGTATTGTCTCATTAATTTTCATAAAAATTCATATTTAAAACACGTTAAGTCACACTGTTCGTTTTCAAAAGGCAACATAGAAATTCGGTGTTTATGTAACAAAATATAATTTAATTAATCTAATAGAGACAACACATAAAATGATAGGATGAAAAATCATTTGAAATGCTCGCGTGGTATTAGTACTGTTGCTTCTTGTGCAAATTTTCAGCACACCATGGAAACTGAGTAAAGCAACACTTTAACAGAGAGTGGCTTACCGTCGCTGTCAAATTCCACTTTTCTCAAATTTAGTTAGGGTGAAAATTCCATATTATTTAAATTAACTTATTTTATGACAATGGAGAATTACAAGAAGAAGCTGAAACTTATTAATTCTATTTAAAGGCTAAGGGCATTAAAAACTGGTTAAACACGGGTATTGATTTACTTTGATTTGAATTTGTAATTAAAAAAACGAAATAAACAATTAAACTTGATGAGCTCCTGGCTGCGGGCCTGACGAACCGTATCCGTGGGCCGAATCTCCTGGGCTAGGTGAAGGAGGCCAACAATGATACGATAAAGTGGTAACAATCCACGCGTTCTCTCTCACTCCCCCTCCCCAATTTTTGTTACTAACCAGTCGTATCCCATACAGTTGACTAAATTATTATGCTCACTACTGGGCCAAGGTTTGTAATGGATTAAATAGACAACGGGTGGCTGATTGAGGTTTAGCCTAAACTTTAGGAAATGTTATTTGCAAAAATAAAGTATTCCCAGCCTATGGTTACTTCGTTGCATCATCTATTATAAGACTCTTAATTTTCTTAATTTATTTAAAACACAAGAGGTTTGAACTAGTAAGTTATAAAAGAAATAGATTGGAAGGAGTCAAATGATTAAGTGTTCACTTGGGAGGCAAGTCATTTGGAATGATCACTTTAAAAAAAAAAAATTTAAAAAACAAGAATATGGAATTAGATGCAAGTTGTTCTTATTTATTCAGTGGAATCTTTAGACATTTTAATAATATTCATGTGAGCAATAGTAGGAAAATGTAACAAAATATTCACCCTTTCAGACTCAGCATGTTCACCTTCTTTAATAAGTACATGTTACAACATGATGACCAGCTGTAGTTGGGGGAGAGATAACTTATAAGTTAGTTTTTATTTTTATGCTAATAATATGAAGGCATATGTTAAAGTATCTACCCATGTAATTTTTAGAGGTCAGTAAAAAAAAAAAACCAAAAATAAAATCAATTAATTTAATACAAGCTTTTTTTTAAAAAAAGAAACTCGACTTCTCTGGGTAAAAAATAATAATAGAAAACAAAGTTAGATTTTACAGATAATTTTCATTTATCACTTGATTTTAACTTTAATGAAGGAATACCTGACTTAACAGATAACAGAAATACTGATGTTAAAGCATTCATTGAAGTGGAGAAAGTATTTTGGAGGCACTGCTCTGTTAAATATCTCATTACAGTTAAAATGTTTTCTTAGGAATAAAATGAATTAAGAAAGACATTTGAAGATTTTTTTTTTTAACCAGGCTATGAAGCTTCATTTATAATTTGATAGTCCTCTTTGTTAGGATTGAGCACTTTCTTGATTTCTCTAATCTTGAATCTACAATGAATGTTTTTAAAAAACTTGATTTCAATCTGCATTGGATGGTATAATATATAGACATCAAATGGACCATAGCTTAAAAATAATACCACAGCGCTTATTTAACTACCAATCAAATTTTTTGTTTTGTTTTGTTCTTTTTTGTTTGTTAATGAAAGAAAAACATAACCAATTGATGGTTTTCGATTGTTAACCATGTAAAAACTATTTTCTTTACATTTAAAACTGGAATAAATGAGAAATGAATTTATTTGTTTTATTTGGAATGTTTTGGTGAATGAATTCAATGAACTAAGAAAGGAAGAATTCTATGTTAAAACAGGTGATCATTAAATAAGTCAATCAATAGCATGGGTTTACTTGTGGTGAATATTTTATGCGTCATTAAAAAAAAAATGAATATGTACATTTATACAAGATAAAATCTTTCAGACCAACAAGTTTATCTCAATGATATATAGAGAAACAAAGGAATGAATGTAAAGCTGAAATAAAAACAAATCAATAAAGCTGATAGCAACATTTAAAAACTGAATACATTTTCAAAAAAAAATCTTATCTGATCTTTGCCACAGAGAATAAATTGTTTTAGCACAGCTTGATATTTTAAATCATGATTACATCCCTTGATGATATTTGCTTTCATCTAATGATTTTCTCTATCAAGTTATACTCCAGGCCACACTAAATAAGGCATATTTAAAAAAAATTAAAATAACATAATAGTAAAAAGAAAGTGTTCACAACCAATTTTTATAATATCAGCAATCACCTTTCAGGAGGCATCAAAATGCACAACATGCTTAAAATAAAAAATAAATATTTATATACAATTTAAAGTACATGTTATAATACAATGGTTGTCCAGATGAATAGTGTGCAGCATGTATTTTGAGAATGAACAACGCCCAACTTAAAATTTAATTTCTAAAAACAAAATTGGTAAATTTGTCTTTCAGTAGTTTTAGTAGCTATTTGGAGACTTGTGTTTTCTAATATCAAATGGCTTAAATTCACTTTAAAAAGTGAATTTACAGAGGCAGTCACTATGCAATAAAAGCATGGACATCAATGGCATACCATGAATCGAAATAGTAATTGAATGATAGTCCCAGATCATTTTTAGATAAGTTATTTTGAGTTACAATTCAGCGAGTTAAATAAACATGAAATACTGCATAGGCATCATTAGTTTTCCTCAGTATCAATTTTGATATTTCAGCTTCCTCTTTCTTACGAATTGTTTTATTCTGCCTAATTTTTAAATGTTATGAATGGTTTAAGTGAGCTAAAGTGTGTACTCTGTCTAGTTAAAAGTGTCAATGCACTGTATGTAGATTGAGATTATTCTATTTAAATTTAGTTCCATCATGAAAGATGTCTTTGAACTTAAGTCTTATTTCAAGCCACTGATGGATATCCTAGTCTTAGGTTCTAATCTTAATTCATTGCTCTTCAAAATTACTTTTTAAAACTTTTTAAAAGGAGCAGGAACAATAATTCAATAAACAATAAGAAATTCAAATAGAAAATAATTAAATAAACAATAATATATTTAAAATGTTGGCATTACTGCTGAAATGAAACTATTAGCACAAATAAAGATTATAAAAAATCATCATTTTGAAAACAAAAATTTTATAAGAGTATACATTTATCAACAGATTTCGTGAATGATTACATCAATAATTATAATCACATTTTTATGACAATGCCACATTTTGTATGTATGAGCAAGCAACAATAAACAAAACATATTTGTACAACATTCATTGGTATAATTCAGATTATTTCTCAGAAAGGTGTGATTTTCAAATTTGTTTAGGTAGGAAGCGTAATTTTAAGAGTTGTATCTAATTTTTTTACATTGAAAATTTGTGTAATGTATTAAATTGTAACGTACTAACAGGTTTTAACCCTGAAACTGAAAAAGTACAAATACAAAATATATTTAGAAAAAAATTTAGACAGCATTGGAACCTTGAGTGTTGAATTTTAAATTATTTTAACTAAATTATGATTAATTAAATATTACAGCATTTTGTAATTTCCTAAGAACAATTCATTTTTCTTCTTACACATTTGAGATTTAAATAGAGTTATGCAACAAAAAAAATGTTGGGAAAAAACAGGAATACTATTTAAAACCTGAATTATTCTTTGAAATCTTAAAAAATTATTCAGAATTTAGTCATAACTATAATTTTCACTAATAGTTAATTATTATATGGACAAATGGTACAAGTATGAACATTAAGTACGAGACATCAAATGCTGTCTCATCTTTAAATGAAAGGTACAGATGAAAACCGGTGAAAATAATTTTTTTAAAAACAGCAAAAAGTATAAATATTTCCATGGTAGATTACAATTTTTTTTAAAATATTTATAACAAATTTATAAGGTCACAAAATTTATAGTCTAGGGAAAGTTAAAGCTCTGTCAGAATTTGATTGCTCCCATCAAGATGAGGATCAAGATAATACTCAGGAGGAAGGTCCAGCAGGTCCCCACTAAGTGGCCGAGAAAGTTGCAAGGGTAGTAAAAGGGTTTTCTTTGCTGGACCATGGGGTCTTGGCATTGTGCTAGCCACTGGGCTATAGTCATATTGATTTTTGCCCTGTGCCAGTGCTGATTCACTGCCTGAAGCATGGTTGATAAAATGGTGGGGCAAATAGTCTGTGGATGCTGCAAGAGTAGGGCTATTATGCTGGAGTTCAAAATTTGCTGATTCTGTTTCAGGATGATAAGGCAAAGATGTAGATGAAAACTGTGATAAGACACACTGGGGAGCATAGCCATTGTTTACAATGGGGTACTGACTTTGTGAATGTTCATTGTACTGAGATGCAATCTGAATATTTTCAGAGTCTGAGAATACTTTAGGATGAGGTGGCAATAGAGTAGGAGGAGGGGATAATGGTGGTGGTGGGAAATGAAGAACTGTTTCCAGGGGCATGCTTCGTCTGTTATCAATATAGAAAGGTTCAACTGTTCTTGGCTTAAGTTTTTGAAGATTGCTTTGTGTTGGATAACTCTGGGATGAATTTTCATGTTGCAGGTGCTGTTTTTCTGCTTTGGTTAGCTCAGTGACAAATGGAAGTGCAACGTAGCCAGAAAGCACAGTGGGCGTATTCAACATCTTCGCATGTTCAACTAATGGAGCATTAGGAACATAATCCGATGTGCACCGTGCATTTGTTGATTCAGAACTGTCAGGTATTGCCAGATTTGTTGATGCAGAACTAGCTTGTATTGCCAGACTAGGATTTAGCTCTGGTTTAAATCTTCTGACATAAGCTGGGTTTTTGGGCTTTACTTTTACCTTTGACTTGCTATTGAAGATTTCTGCTGAACTGGACTGGCCACTGAAAATTGATGATGATAATGGATTTATAGACTGTGTTGTATCCTGTACATGATAAACAGAAATTTCTCTTAAAGGTAGTGTGCCAGTTTGGCTAAAATTAATTATACTTGTATCATAAATATTAGTCTGAGGATCTTTGTTCACTTCGGTTTTTTTCAGTGCATCTGGCTCATCAATGCTGAACTTCAAATAGTCCTCAACACTTTCCTCTGCTTTGTTGACAGATCCATTAAAATTTTTATATATTTTTAAATCTGGTCTACTTTCCTGTTTAGAATATATATTTTGGTATTTAGGTTCTGTGCCCAATCTGACTTGCTGTTTTTCTTTTTCAGCTGAATCAATATTGGAGCTGTGATTTTCTCTGAGTAAATTTGTAGGTTCATTAATTGATTTGACATCCTTAGGGTGGTATTTATTTGACCCCTTGGGAGGAATATTCTTGTTCACAAATATTGGGCTAGGGATAAGATTTGTTTGGGACGTGATGCTGTCATCAGATGTCTCAGAGTGTCGATTGTCTTTCACTTTCTCAGACCCAAGGTTGCTCTGTAAAACAAATAAAAAAGTAGTAAAAGTTGAAATAATTGAACAAATTTGTATGATCTTATAAAGAAAGTTTTTTAAAAAAGCTAGAAAAATATCCTTTAAGAGCTGTATTCGTTCTTTTTTAAACTTCCAAACCATTATCATAAACCACTAAATCTTCTTCATTTTGTTAATTAAAATGTTTACTTCCTGAATTTTAAGAAAATACAAAGTAATATAGTATATAGTTTTTTTATTTCTTAAATAAATTATTTTTAATTTATTAAAGACAAACTTTTATAAATTGAATTCTAGCTTTAGTACATTTCTTTTTTCTGTTTTTGAAAAGGATTTTTTTTTTTAAAAGTCATATTTAAATAGAAATAAGAGATTAAAAAAAAAGCTAAACAATAGTTCAGAGTATCACTATTGAAAATAAATATAATAAAACCAAATCAACAACAAAGATTGAGAGAGATAGAGACTTTTACAAAAAGAAACAAAAAAGCTCTTTAAAAGTGTAAAGGCATAAAAACTAAATTGATTTAATCCAACAATCAGGCAAATTTTTAATGATAATAAGGTGAAATTTAAAAACAAATATTCACCAAAATAACTACAACAACTTAGCCATAAATAAAAGACATCAAACATTTAAAAACTGAATAAGGCTTTAAATAAGTCATAATATCAAATAAAATTCGATTGTTATTCTTAAAAAAAAAAAAGAATAAATAGTATAAATAAAACCAAACCTGAGTGCACACCAACATAAACAAAATAATCACAACATCCAAAGCTTACCATGCAAGCAGACGAACCATAAAAATGTTGCTCTTCAGAAGGTGTTTTGGGCAAGGGGCGATTGCGATAATCTTGGGTGTTTTTGGAGGAATTTTTCTGCAGGACAAGGGACATTAATGACTTCAATCCAATAAGATTATTTAGCTATAGTGAAGACTTAAAGGCTCGCCTCTTTTTTAACAAGATTAAAATGGCTTATTAAATTCAGGGGAATAACTACACTGGCTTATTAAATTCAGGAGAATAACTACAATACCGGTACTTGTGGCCTTTGGCAAAATAAATCTATGTGGGGTTAATCAAAAGAAGCCCAATTTACACAATTATTTTGAGTCAACTCAAAATGACACAGACAGGGACTAAAAATTTACTAATATTAATTTTATTGTAAATTTCACTTCCATGTACAAATTTCATTTAAAATTTTAATTAAATTCTATTCATTGTTTAGTTTGAGAAATGTTTACAATGTTCTTTTCAATGTAATCAAACATTAACAGCTTTTACAAGATAGTGCAATGCAATGCACCTTGCATTCCAAAAAAAAAGAAGTTTCAAATCCACTCCCCTAAAAATGTAAAATTATTTTTTTTAACCCTAGAAAGCAAAATGAGAACCAACAAATACTTTGTTAAGCATTATTAATGTGGATATCTGACTGAAGAACAAAGAAAATATTTTTCATTAGCAAGATATTTGTAGTTATTATGCAGTTTGTATTTAGGGTATGTCTTAAAAAGAACATTATTGTTGTAGTTGAAGATTTCTTGAAGATTTGTAATTTATGGTGACAGAGTGCGGGCTTCATCATCAGGTTTAACCAAAATGAGGATTTACAATATTGAAGAAGTAGGGGTACTTGATGAAAAACTATAAGTATTATTGATTAATTGTTTGAAAGGTCAGAGGTTTTCATTAATACAAAAAAGCATCTTAGGGCAGATGCAGAAAATTCTCAATCACTCAAATCAATGAAAAAAACATGAAAACACATAAACTTACCTGCGTCTGAGCATATGGTTCTATATAATCCTCCATAATTCTTTTCTTTCTTGCTCTGCAATATCTGATTAGAATGACAGAAATTAATTTTATTATGACTTTATATATTTTAATATAAATTATTTTTACATGGGAAACTGCTAATTGCATAGTATATGGAAAATATAAAAAAAAATCTTTTCATTCTAAAATGGGGCCCTGTGATGTGACCCCAACCATTTAAATTTGTGTTACATAAAAATTGTGTATAATTACCTCCAGCATAAGAACACTGCAATGGCAATAAATATAAACAAAACAATTCCTATGATAATTGCAATGCTCTTCTCTGTATTCGCTTCTGAAAAACAAATATAAACAATCAATGTTTAAAAAAATTATATTTATTAATGTGTTAGTGTTACAGTAATTATAAAAATAATTTTAATTGCATGCTGTATTAGCTTTTTATGAAAACTACTAATTTACTCATCACAAAAACACAAACTAATCAGTTAAAAGGTAGTATTTTTGCAACATGCTTATTAGAGAAAAAAAAAAGTTTAGAGCCATGATGCAATTCAAAGAAAAGAAAATCAGTTTGCCTTTTAGTTTCGAGACTTATGGTTTCTTTCTAGGATTTAACTGCACTTAAAACAAGTATTAAAAAAGTTTTGATTGACTGTGATCTTCAGTGCTTTCAACTATTTATGTTTACATTATGCCATTCTAGCTATAAATCCCTAATGGTATAATAAATTATTCCTGTGAACTATCTATCATCCATCTTGTGACTAATTCATGTATTGTGGTATACCAGATGCCAGGTACTGGCCACATTTATTTAGTAAAAATAAAAATACTATGTTTGATCAAAAATATGTTTTAAAGTCTACAATGAAACTATACTGAAATTTTAATATCTTAAAAGAGTCTCAATCAAAAATGTATCTCATTGGATAAAAAAATCTTTTGATCATGAATAAGAAATGTACCTGGAGGAATGCCTTTGACATATCCGTATAATTCTGGGCTGCGTGGTCCCAAGCCTGCTGCGGATACTGCTATGACATACAAAAGGTATTTTGTATCCCCCTTTAAATTCTTTAAAGTCACTTCATTGTGGTGATTGCTGACATTTTCTGATTTTTCAGGTTCTGTCAAATTGTTGTATTATGTTTAATGTCAGAAATGGGAATGGTTAAATGGACATGCTACGACTAGGATATTTGGCTAAGTTAATTATCTACTGTTCAAATTTATTGTGAAAACATCACTAAATGTAGGTCATGCTTTATAAGTAGTAAGTATTACAGATTAGATATTCTAAGAATGCACATTATTTTTTAAGTTATACTAGACATTCCAAAAATTTCAATGACAAGAGACAGTCAAGATTTGTTTTGGAATCAATTATTGAAGATCACATTATCACAATCTGTTGACTCATATTAAATAAAGGTCAAGTGCTATCAAAATGGGAGTTGCTCTGTCCACTCGTAAAATAGATTTTAACTGCTGCTATGGACTTATAAAATCTGATTATTGATGTAGGTTACCAGTCGCAGCAGTCACAAAATGATGACAAACTTGTCAAACAAAAAAAACAATTTTGCATACAGATTTACAGTGACTTCAGTTAGTTACTTTTTTCTTCATTGTTTTTCAATAATTGAATTGAAACCTAGAGAACATTATAAAAAAATCTCCTATGAACTGTTCATAAGCTGACCACCCCACTTATTCCCCTGAGATATCCCCCACCCCCTAAAAGTTGGCTTTAGAGCCAGTAAAAACAGTAATCATTTTTTACAAAACTTAATTGTAAATCATTAAATAGGTATTTGATGTCTAACTGACAGCTTTCTGGCACAACTGCATTCATTTGAAACCCCATGGTGATAAACAAACTCACCATAACATATTTTATCATTTGTTGGGCAATATTTCACTAGATATTCTGTTATGTAGCTTTCCTCATCAGCACAAGTAAACTTATCCCACAGAATAGACAAACCATTTCTCAGGTTACTTTCTGCTGATGAAACTCTTACTTTTTTAGGTGACTGTAGAGGTTCTTAAATGAGGATGAGAGTATAAAACAAAAATGTTGCACAATAAATTAATTATGAAAATAATTAGTCAGTGTGAACTAGCAGGCGTACAGTGAACTCTCATTAAGAACAAATGGCCAAATAATAAGTGATTAATAGTAAAAACAGAAAGAAAAGAACTGTAAAAAAAAATTCAATTACCTTCACAAAAAATCATAGAAACTAACTAAAATATTTTAATTTCATAAAGCTCTACAGAATATTATCTGGTTCTATTAAAATAATAACTTACAGTGATAGTATAATTTCAAATGAAATATGTTCCTCCTCATTCTCTTTTTTAAATAAGGGACTGGTTATATTTATTAATGTGAATGCAAATATACTTTTTGTTATTTGATATTTTTCAAATAATCAAAATTTAAAAACAAAAGGAATTGAAGTTAGAGAAAGTTAAATCAAAATTTTCATGTATGAATTACACAAATCCAAAAAGTTTTAATTATTTTCGAGTAAAAATTATGATTCATTTGCTTATCCTACTGGCAGCTGACTTGGATACAAGATTTTTTAAAAACTTGTCTTCTCTGAAAATTTAAGATGTATGTCTGCTCTGAGTAGCTCTGATTTAAAAAAAAAAGTGTACATTAAACTTGAACCTACTTTGATTGCGCTTATATATACAGTCACTCCACTGGATTCCACTGCTGATCACTTGCTCATCTATAGTAACCTCAGCACTTATGCCAATTGAAATATCCCTAGACACACTTTTAAGTTCATGGGTAACACTGTCAGCTGTAAGATTGAGCCATTGAATGTCTCCCTGCACAAAATAAAAAGGTATTGATCAATAAGCCACATTTATTACTATGCATTCACATTTATTTAACATCAATTGAATAAACTACACAGTCACTATTCTACTGCAACATGTTGTTTAATGCAAAATGTTGTTTAAGGAATAGTTGAATATATAAACAAGGCACTTTGCCTTGTGTTAACCACTTTGATATACTGATGGACGAAGGTAAAGAACTGGTTTTTCTATGTGACAGCCAAGAGTTTGTGCTCTTCATTTAATATACTGTTACATTTTACCAAACCTAAATTAATATATTTATTGGAGTGTAGAAGGAATTATAATTCTGGTTGTCACCAACCACCCTTATCATTGATGATACTTTTCATTTGCCTATTTCAAATCTTGTTCATTACAAATAGTTAACAGATATGAGCCAGAATGATCAATAAATTGATTGTGGGCTCTTAATATGAAGAAGAAGAAGATGATGTGCGATTAATAAGTAAATTAAAAGACATCACTATCATATTTAGCTTACTCTAATTAATATTGGTAAGGAAAAATCATCCATGTAAAAACAAGTGTTTCTCTACACCACGGTACAAATAAATGACAGCCCTTACCTGACACACCAAATGCTGTCTTTTACACCAAGAAATGGTAATACTTGTGTACTTTTGGCGTGGCTTGTAGTTAACCTCAAGTGCTGCCCAGCTCAAGTAGAAATGAAGCTCGTCATTTTCATCTCTTTCCACTAAGAAATTCTCTGGAGCTTTAGGTTCTGATAAATCACAAAATAGAAATCAACAATTATTTTATTCATCTGACAGAAGAAGACAACTTGATGTTATTGAGACCACAAAAAAACTCAATTTTGTACATTCTTATGTCTTGTAACATGTAATCATTGACATACCAGTACTTGAAATATAAAAACTATAATTTTTTTTTAAATGGGAGACTTCAAATTAATTTAGAAAAATAAATGAATTTTATTAAATAGGCATTTAAACATTAACTTAAAACTCACTTTTTACTTTCGGAGGTACAATCAGGTATGATGAATTCTGTGACAAGCCTTTCACTGTCCCAGGAGTTATTACAATCTTGATAGGTAAATCTGAATCAGGAATCTCTACATCCTCTGAGGTCAGATTTTTAGGTGGCTTGATGTGAACAGTACGGAATTTATTAATGGTCATGTCCCTTGTACACACTTGGATGTGATACTGGGTTATTTTCCCATTTTTATAAGTTTCATTAAGATCCTTCCAGTAGAGTCGAATACATCGGTTTGTTTTGTTGTGTTTACACTTAAGCTCAATGTAGCAACCTGGGCACAAGGCAGGGGCTGCAGCAGGAACTAGGAAACATGATGATAATGGTCTCTTATAGATAAACTAATGTAGGGTGAATAACAAACTAAAATAGATCCAGGAAAAAAAAATTGTTTTAACCTAATTATTTTTATTACTCTAAAACAAATTTTAAATTGATTGCTATGTATTGAATCAATGGGCATCTTAGATCTAAGAAATATTTCTGAAGTCAAAGGACCTGCTTAAGAGCCTACAGAAAAGAAAATCTATAATTTAACATGGATAGTTTCTTAGGCATAATTTACAAAGCCTCACCATCTTCTTCAGTTGTTGCTTCAGTATATTTGAAACTACTTATGTATCCCTGGTCAACAGGAGAGTCCACTGGTTTTGGCAAGACAGAGATACGAAATTCATAGCTAGTGAATGGAGTCAGATTACAAACAGTTGTCTGAAGTTTGGCAGATATATCCTCAATTAATGGAAGCTGGGGAGAAATAGAAATAGATTAATCTATCATACTGAAATTAAAGAAGTGATTTTTAAAGTATGACTTTGTTCTAAGAAAATGTCATTAATGTAACATTTTCTATATGCTGACTTGAGATCTTAAAGATAAGAATCAGTTAAATAAAGATATTTATACTATATTTCTGTTTTAATGTTTAAGTTATTGAGTTGGGTAGAAGCTTTTGAAAATTAATTACTTAGGATATTTAAAAGCACAAATTATGTTTGTGACTATAAATGCAAGTGAATAGTTTTCAAGTAAAATTTAAAAAAATCGAAATATGGTGTCACTGAAAAGCTTTAGTGAGCTCTCCCAATGCTGATATCGAGCATTAGAAATCACTTTTAAAGTAAATTAATGATCTAGAAAAAGTTATCATAAAAATTATATCTTGTTAAGTGAGTTGTAAATGATAAGTTAAAAAAAAATAAACAGCAATGGCAATAAGTATAAATTTAAGAAACTCACAAAATTATCAAGGAATCCAAAAATAACTTAAAATTAACAAACCTGCAACCAATCTCCCCATGATTTTTTCCTGAAGCCAACATTAAACAATTTTTCTCTATGTCTAGCAGAATGACCCCAGGTCAGGTTGACACAAGTGCTGTTCAAGACAGCAGCCTTAAAATTAAGTACTGGTGCAGGCTCAACTGTGAATAAAATTATATATATATATATAAATATTTAACAAAAAATAACTTGATTTTTTTATAATGAAATAACTTTTTTCCCTTTACCAAAAACTGAAAAAAAGTTTAACAATAAAACTATGTATTTTTTAAACAATAAAATTCATACAATAGATTATTGGTCTTTAATAATTTTAATAACAGTAATTTATTAGTTAAATCCTTTTTAGTTGAACCAAGTTTATCAAATAAATTCATTAGAGAAGATTTTGGTAAAAGGAATGCCAGTTCAAGAATACTTCACAATGCAAATTTTTTTATAAAATATACTGCAAAAAGATACTTAAAACAACCTTGTGTTTTTCTAGCCTAATGTCATGCATAATGAGATATTATTCTAAAAGAGAGTCCTCTGAAACAAAGTTATCAAAGATAAAAAAGATGATTTTCTTTTAACATAAAAGGAGGAAAGACTAAAGAGATAAGAGTCTCTATTCTAAAAATGTTTTAGCTAAAAAGCAATACAAGCAAAAGAACAGAAGATTTAAAATAAATCCTGACTACATTATTTTGATATAATGAAAGTACAATGTTAATACCTATATTGACACATCTTCAAATATGAAAATACAAGTAAAAATTTCAGAGAATCAAATTTAAAAGATTAGTATAATATGGCTTTTAAACAAATATCTATCTGATACCTTTGCCTTTTTATAAAAACTGATACTAAAAAAGAAGTACCCGCTTCTACCAGTATATAGGCCTATATTTTGAGTAGGATCAACAGAAAAAATTTTTTTAGCTGTTACACTTGCAATGTACTTTGCTTAATGATGTGAAACAATTTAATGTTCAGTTCCATTTTCAGCTCTGCTAATCTGCCCAATTAAAGCTTTAGTTTTTTTTGTACAAATCTTTTAATTCCCCCAAAAAATGATTGCAAATAATACAAGGCAAATTATCACATACAAGTTTTAAAATGAAGTCATAACATACAATTTCCAAACTGACATTTTCAATGCAAACTAAAATGTATTCTGACTCACTATGTGGGTAAAAAATCTACTTACCTTGTGCATCTTAGCAAACAAAATAATTAATAAAATGTTTGTTAGCCAACACTAAGTCTTTTAAAAAAGATTTCATGGAATAAGAGACACTTAGACTTAGATAAGAAAATATATTGATACAAGTATTTTGCAGAGTTTTTTTAGGTGCCAAAGGTTTATCGAATATGAGTTCAAACATTTGTTTCCGAACTTACATCCATATTTGTAAAGTTTTCACCAAATAAGACTGAACATACCAACAACAAAAATAGCAGAATTGGCATTTGGTAACTGAAAGAAATGCACAGCAATGACAATTTAAAAAAATAATTAACTGGTATGAAAAGACATGCCTGAAGTGAACCCAAATACCAACTAATTTCCTTTAACATAAATTTTCTGATGTTGTAGTTCTCATAGAAGGAAGGTTAAAATAATAAAATAAAAAAATCTCTACCTTATTATTAAAAAATATAAAACAAAATTTAACTGAATTTCAACTAATATTTTATATATTGAGAAATGATAAAATATTATTAAAAAAGAGAGATTGTTTGAAATGCTTAAAATAACTAGGTTTATGTTATAAAAACTTCTTTTAAAGAAAGTTTATTATGTGTTAATAAAACTTGGTTAGTGACACACTTGTTTTATAGAATGCCAAATGGCATTACTTACTGATAGCTTTAATCCTAATTTCAATAGGATCAACCATTCTAGTATGAAATATATCAATACTAGCAAAAGTTGTAACTATGGCTGAAGTTTCTGTAACACAAAATTTTTTATAAAATTTTTTTAACGGACTCCAATATTCTTTTCACTAAAATGAATCCATCGAAATGGGACTTTTCTTCACCATTAGCCAATGTACAGGTAAAAGAGTTCAAATAAGAGCAACCTTGTCTTTCATTACATGAGTGATTTAAAGAGGATTAAATTATTTAAAATTCAAACTCTGTATTGTGAGATAACGTAATAAAAGGTCCACACAAATAAAATTTTCAAACAGCAAATATTACTTATGATGTATTTAGGACATTTTCCCCCCTCAAAAGTTGTTTGCAATTTCCTTAGGTAAAATTGACTTTAAAACATCAAAAATTATTTTAATTTTTTTAATTTTTATCCCAGGCTAATAAATGTCTATTAATATGAACTAATGTTAACTTTTAAATACCTTTGTTTGCCTTCTCATTGCACTATATTAATATTAGTCCTAAAAGCCTCATGTATGACAAACAGATAAAAAATAATAGAAGAAACTCCATCAAACAAGTGTTTTGTTTCTTCTTGCTGCATCATATTTGAAATAAGTAAAACTAAGCGTCACATACTTTAAGCCTCTGTCTATAATTAATTATGCTATAATTAAAACTGTAAATGGATATATATATATGTGTGTCGTTTCATATATATAAGCGCAATCAAAGTGAATTCAAAATAAATGTACCCATTTTTTAAAAATCATAAACATTTATTAAGGTCTAATTACACTTTTTTGTCCAATTTGTGTGTAGTAAGAGTAGTAAGGGAGAAAAATAAAATAAATAATGATTAGCACAGACACTAAAAAATTATGTCTAAAATAATTTTGTAATTTAAGAAATGTCTTTGCAGATCAAATTTTCAGGCTTACATTTGTAAAGCTTCTGGCAAACATTAAAGGTAAAAAAAAGGTTAAGTGATAAAGATATTAAACATGAAAAACATAGATTAGTAGCAAGAAAATAATCTTTAACCACAAGTGACATGAAATGGTGTGGGTCCAGGCACAAGAGGATACATAAGTGGTACATATTTCAAAGAATGAACCTACCATACAGCACAGTCTCAACTCGAAAAGTATCAGACTCTTGATGGGCCAGTTCTTTGTTGTTCACCTTGGTCTTGACCTCCAGCTTCATTACATACATGTGACCATGATTATAATGTTTAGATGACCACTCACAGGTTGTTAAAGTTAAATTTGGGCAGTCATGTTGTCTCCCACTTAGAATAGAAATAGAATTAACAGTTTAAGAGTTAGTCAAGTAAAATTTTAGAGCTAAGCTTTTGCAGTAATAATTAAAGTAATAATAAGTAAATATAAATAGCCTATGTTTGTAAAATAAATAAAATATGGTAATGGCAGTTAAGAAATAAGAAAATCTCATATTGAAATTATATATATATAGAGATTTTTAAAGAAAATATTTTAATTCTATTTCTAAGCCCATAATAAAGATATGTTATTTTCTCAGTTGATTAATGATTACAAAAATAAGGAAAGAGTGAGTCACAAATCTGTTTAAGTTTAAGAAACCACATATTCCTTTGGAAAATATCTTTCTTTTTTTTCTTTCTTTCTTAGATACATGGAATTAGTAGCAGTATAAATAAACTTCTATAATGTTTAAGGTCTCTTCAATTTTAATAAATGTGTCAATATCCTTTGAAACTTTTACTTTCTTGATCTCACTTGCTTTTAAGATAATTAAATGACTGACTACAATTTAAATATTTTTAACAAATAAATTAGGCCATTGTTATCAATCAGCACAAGAAGAAATGTACATTTATCTCTTTTGACATAGTTGGCCTGTAAACATATATGATGTTTCACTTATGATTCAGGGTTACACAACTATAGTGAGTTCTAAAGATATGGAGTATAAGGTTCTTGTTAACTTTTGTTTAGTTGTATACAGCTTTTGAAATCATGAGCTTCTTAGGAAATGTTATGAAGTAAATTATGGTAATTGATCTTAGGGCTTCAACTTTTCCTTTGGGGTGTCAAGTTAAAAAAAGTTAATATCAGCTAATTTAAGCTCAGAGTGTTTTTAAGATTTTAAGTGTAGTGACATAAAGCATAGACATTAGTAACATTTAATAAAATAAAATCCTTTTCCCTTTGTTGTAGCTAAAATGACAAGGATATCACCTCATCTTTTCCCCTCAAAATAAAACCCAAAAAGCAAATAATATTTCAGAGGACATTTAATTTTGACAAACTTAAGAAACGTTCTTCAATTTTTCATAATGTTGATAACTTAAAGCCATAAAAAATCCTCCATTGTCATGATTAAAAAATAAAGACCAACAAAATAACAATTGTAAAAGTGGATTAATTATTATAATGATAATAGTGTACCCTCAGGAGCAATACACTATATAATATCTATGAATGTTGTTTTCATTTTTATATAAGGTTGTTTCTCTTTGAATTGACCATTTGGAATGCATTAGTTGGAATGATGCTGTTAAAATTAAAGCACTGATAACTTGGAAGTCATGGATTAGCATTTGCACCAGTTGATATATAATTATACAATATAATAGACTGCAGTTTAGCAGTATGATTACAACAAGATCAATTCTGATGATTTTGTTAGATTCAAGCAATTTAAAAGATAATAATTTTCCCAAAACATACTATTCTGGATTCCGTCGGGCTATACTGAAAATGAGGCATTTAAAATTTAGTTTTTAATTTTTAAAGCTATAGATTGAAATCCAAAGCAAAATATTAAAATGTACATACTTTAGAGCCATGTTATGGAGCTAGATGACCTGCCCCTTGCAATAAATTGACAAGATTGATTCCTGTTTTGGCCAATATTTGGCAAGTTCCCCAAATGTGTACAAGAAATGCTGAACTCAAATTAATTTAAAATAATGTAACCCACCTAATACATGGAAATGTTTAATTTAAAAGACAATGGAACCTCCTTATATTTTTGAATAAATGGAATTCTTTACCGTTTTTGGTCAAAATTTTCTCGTGAAATATTAGTTATTAACTGATGATTGGTAGTGGGATGGATGCCTCAAGTCAGCAGACATTGCACAAGCTTTGAACTCTTTGCCTTGAGTACATGCACTATAGAAATATTTATCCTCCCTAAATATCTATATTCCACAGACCTTCCTTGGCCCCAGCATTCATTCTATTCTGAGTCTGACCAGATAACATTATTCAATGTTTGCCAAAACTAAACAGCATAATTTTATCATGAAAGTTCTTGACTTACTCAAAAGTGTAGACCAAAGAAACATTGACATTTTCTGGATGTGCAAACTTCACACCCAAGTCCCAACTGCAAGTCATACTCTCCCAGTTGTAAACTCGGCAGGAAATATTCCTTATTTTAACAGGCTTGTCTGTAAATAAATTTAAAATAACTAAAATAAAATAAATATCGACCTTAGACCTTTAACATCAGTGGTTCCAAAAATTTTAATTCATAGCTTAATTTATAAAAAACAGCCAGCCAGCCATATTTTCAAAATTGAAACAAACATTCTTGGATGATTCAGAATTCAAGGGACTCCTTCCAGATAACACAAAAACCACTGTTATAAATTAAAGTATTTAAAAGAATTTAAAAATTTTAAAAAAATGAGAATTGTCATGATTTTATACAAATAATTCAATTTCAAAGCCATAGCTTCAGTATTAAAATCCTAGACCAACATTTGACAGACCCAATAAAAGCTAAGATTTGTCTTAATAAAAGTAACTAATACAAAATTAATGTACTTAACCAACGTGTAACCCCTAACATTTCAAACAACGGGCAAATATTTTTTTACATTTTCATATTACTTTACAAAATCTTACAGTTTGAATATTTTATTTAATTATCTCCCACAGATTTCTGAAACAAAGTTGTGAACATTGGATGCAGTCATGGGCACCCGCAGGTAGGGGCAAGGGGGGGCTCCTGCCCCCCCTCCCCCCCTGGATTGATTGGATACAATTTTTTTAGACAAAAATAGACACAAAATTTATTAAAGTGAAGAGAAAATAAAGAGAAAGTAACTAAGCTGATGTCCTGTCCATTCGTTCATCATACAAATACGCTACAGTAAATTAAAACTATATTTGGAAAGTTAATCTATTTTTTTGCGCCCCCCCCCCCTTAGAAAGTTTTCTGCGGGTGCCCATGGATGCAGTAGTTCCCCAATTCTGACCTTTAAGGGCTAATGTACATTGAGACTGTTTAAAGTAGTCAAGGTTGATTTCCGACTGACGAAAAACACATTGAGACTGTTACTAACCCACATTTAAGCATCACATTGGAGCAATTGATCATGATAAAATAAATTTTGAAGACATTTGATCTTCCGCGACAGTTTCTAGATGTCTTAGATTCCTAGATAACTATTTGCATTTTTATGAGTGGCTTATGAGTCCAGTCCTGGAGTGCCAGTCTCTTCTAAAACTTTCAGAAATGAAATCTAAGGCGTATATTAAGCCTGTCTGTTAGCTTTTAATTCAAAAAAGCTTGTGTCTCACAACGCCTTAGTCTGTAGAGCCACCTATCCCACAAATCATGGATATGTAGAGCCTCTGTTTTCCACACATCATGAGTCTATCAAACCACTGTTCCCATGCATCATGGGTCTGTAGAGCCACTGCTCCCCCCCAAATCTTGGGTCTATATAAAACTATGTTTAAATACAATTATCTATTTATTTATTTTGATGTTGGCTGCCTTCATATCTTTCTTACAAACATCCTTGTACTTATGGTGCAGATGTGATCAATTATTTGCTTACCCCACTCCCTCTGCCAGTTCACTTACACTAATCTTTTGGAAAGTAACCTCAGTCCACTCTCATGATATGTACTAGTCACAGAAGGTTCCGCTCACTGAAAGTGGAGAACGAGCTGTACCTGTTCACACATTCTCAATACAAGGTATTGGTCAGTAGATACAAGGTGTTGTCATGTTTTCCTGCAGAATGTACTCCAGATGTCTCAGTTGGAAATGGTAAACTTTCAGATCATGATTTGTGTAAATGGTCCATGCCTAATGCTGTTGTAATTGCGAACTAGAGCAGTCATTCCTGGTAAAAAAACACATTTACTATCCCATCTGTCAGGCTAGGATTGCTCCAGATCATCTCACTCAATCTGTCGCTGATAGTTGCCGCCTTGGGGACACTCTTTATGTCTCCATTAACATAGAGTGAGCTGTAGTGAGCTGGAGGTGGTGATCCCAATGGTTTGTGATGTTCTCAGCTTCTTTTAGGTTCTCCTCTCAATTGCCACAGTCTTTCATTGTCACGACTCATTAAATCAGTTTTAATTATGTGTTTGATATAACACTCTTACAGTTTAGTGGTTTAAAAAAAATATTTCTCAAATCCACTCCACAAACTGCACCACTTTTGCCTAAAGTGTAATGAATGCTACAACTTACAATATTTCTTAAGTGTAATGAATACTACAACTTGCAATCTACTTTTATTTTTAATGAATACTATGACTTACAGTCTACATTTACTTTTAATGCATACTACATCATAAAATCTTCTTTTACTATTAATGAATTAATGAATACTACAACTTACAATCTACTTTTACTATCTGGTTTCCTATAAATTGGACACCTCCTGTGTATGTCCTTTTGTTGCAAACGTAGCGTCCACTGTCACCTATCTCAAGATTACTCAGCCGAAGTTCCCCAATTCTGAACTTACAATCTACTTTTATTTTTAATGAATACAATGACTTACAGTCTACATTTACTTTTAATGCATACTACATCATAAAATCTACTTTTACTATTAATGAATTAATGAATACTACAACTTACAATCTACTTTTACTATCTGGTTTCCTATAAATTGGACACCTCCTGTGTATGTCCTTTTGTTGCAGACGTAGCGTCCACTGTCACCTATCTCAAGATTACTCAGCCGAAGTCTGATGGCTTTTGTTGTGAGAATTTCAATGAAGTCTGAGGGAATGAGCCTGAAATCTATTTATTTTTTTTAAAAAGAGGACAATCTTTAATTGTTTGGGAAGGTGTTTATTATTGTCACTTAATTAAAAAACTACTAAGTTAAACTATAATTCAGTGCTGCTATTGATTTCTATGAACATACTTTAAAATAGACCTAAGTTTAGTTAGACTTATAAACCATTATAAATAAAACTACTCTTTAGGCATCAGAAATTAAAGCATGTATAAAAAAAAAACCTTAAAATGGAAGTTTACGCAATCTGCACCAAATTTTATCATAAATTTACCATTTTGGATTTTACTTTTGATGGGTAAGTCATCATCGTAAAAAGGGTCAAGGCTTTTGAATCTGGTTTCATTAATGGTGCTTCTTTCAAAATACAGCAATGACGAATTCTCTCGTATATCTGCATTGGGGTTGGTGATGTTACAATACAGTTCCAGGGTCTCACCCACAAACTTGAAGGGATCCGCTGGAGACACAGCTGTGGAAGAGACAGAGCCCCTTGGATGTCACACTACTAAATTATAATTTAAGCAGATATTCTTTTGTCAGTGTATTAATTCGGCATGGAATCTCAAAATTTGTAATGCTATAAATACTGAAATCATCTGTTAAAAAGTATGCATTTATATGTGCAAAGTTCATAATTACTGTGTGATGTACTGGATACATATTTTATTTTTATACTAATTGTTATATTGTTGAGCCAACTGGAACATTATGGGATACACCACTAGTTTGGGAAACGCTGTGACTGTGGTAGGCTAGACAAGGTTGAAGAGATCTGATGTTAACCAACATTATAAATAGCTATTTTATTGAGACAAAACACTAAATTCCAAAGCCACTTTCATTGTCTCCAGAAAAATAACTATAGGCCTGTTAATTGGCTTTTTATCCTAAATAAATTATTTCATACCCATAGTTTTTATTTGCTTGTTCAGCTATAGAAAAAATATTCTTCATTCCAAATACTTTCTGCTTCAAAAACATTTTTTAAAAAATTGTTGAGGAATGCAAGTAAAAAATCTCACCCCCATCAGTAGTTAGCAAATATGACTTGCCCACACAGCAGCACAGGATAATGGTGAAGAAGGCTTGGAGGTTCTTGCGTTGAAGAAGCTGTTCCATTATGATTTCAAATCAGCTTTTACTCACAAATGATCATTTCTCATCTTGATGGTGTCTCCATATTATGGCATTGGTGAGCTGAAACAGAAAAAATAAATATTTCTCAGTGTGCTTTTCAACACAAAAGTTGATTTAGTAGCAGTGATAGGCACTTAGTATCAGGGTAGAGAAGGAAAAGCTGCTCTGAGTCTAAAACACAAGTGCTAAGGTCTGATAGTGTGAATTAAATTATTGATGTATTAACAACCTTTACCGGTACGAAAAAATAAATTAATATGATTATTAATTTAATTTACATAATGTATGTATACCCTACATTTTCCTAAAAAGTGAAAGAAAAGTATAACAATGGAGCCACTCACTGACCTACTAACTTTGTTATCAAACACAGCTCTTAAAAATGAAAAAAATAAAATATATTGAAAACAATATATATAAATTCAATTTAAAATTACAATTATGTTCTTTAAGGGATTAGCTGAATTTTTATTTTCTCTAATCGTAATTAAAGCTTAACATATATTTCTTATTAACTCAAATTGTTTGTGTCTCCTTAATCTACTTAAGGGCTTTATCCTAGTCCCGCCATATTAGAGTTAGTGAATTATATTGTAATGAGAAATTGATTTATCAGCTGGTTGAAAATTTCATCCCCTGCTGTTGCATGCATACCACGCAGAGACTCTAATTTTTCAGTGACATCATAATCACTATTGACCCCGCTGCCCTTACAACCCTACGTTGCGGGTCAGATGTGGCCCGCGGGCCGTAGTTTGCCGACCCCCTCTTCTAATTCACATTGCACGCAGCCACAAAAAAAAAAAAAAGAAAAAAAAAAAAAAAAGAAAAAAAAAAGGGGGGGGGGAATTAGTCTAGAATGGAATGAACAAAATATGAAATAATTTGCCCATGTTATCGAGTTATGTGGTTTGCTTTATTCCATTAGACACGACCATGACAGGAGGAGATTATTTTATCGTTGATCACCGCAAGTGTCCGTAAAAAAGGACGCAAGTGTTCGTAGTAAAAAATAACAACAAACGGAGAGAAAAATATTTATTATAAAAATACATTTTATTTTTTTGTCTAAATTTTCCTGTAACTTCTATGACTATCTCCCTTCTTCGGGAAATTTTGACATAATATTTAATCCCATTGAATTTATTAATCATTTTTAAGCCAGATATCTGAGAGCGTAAGGCGTAAATATTAACAAGGAGAAATGATTTAAACAAATAATGTGTGAAGTCGACGCATATCTTGGTCCCCCTCCACCCCACCCCTGGTGTAAATACTTTAGAAATGTCACAGTCACAGGTCACAGTCATGTATTTCGTTACTTCATCTTCGGTTTGTCTGTGTCCCCAGTCCACAGCGGAGTAAAGAATGCACGCAATCCAATACAATACACACATGGTATCGGCGTCGTATTTATGTTATTGCTGCTGACTCAAAACTCTGGCGTGTAAATGCACAAAAAATGATGGGTTGCTGTAAAGTATCTTATAAAACCACGGATGAAAGGATTAAACCGAACTAAGAGAGGATTAAAACAAAAGTTAGAAGCGTAAGAAGTGGGATGCTACACTCAGGGACTTCATTTTGGGTAGTGCAGGGAGCATTCCCCCCCCCCCAACCAATTTGCAAGTTTTATTTAAAGCGCTACTTTGTCCCCTCCACTAACGAACAAATCAACAAGCCAGACCCCCCCCCCCCTTTTTGAACAAATCTGTAATGATGTTCCTGGATACACCCCCCAGGCTGGGCCCCAGGGCTGTAGGTCTTTTTCTCTTTATAGGGAGTGGCGACCTTTTTAAAACCAACTGCGGAATGTATTTGTGGAAGGGGGCGTCAATAATATTAGTTCGTCTCGGGCAGCACTAAACTTCGCTACGACGCCACTGCCTAAAGTTAACCTGGAGACGATCACTGCACAGGGTCATCTACTTTGTCTTCTACTGCCAAGGGCCAATCACGCATATCATTTTCACGACACAACACTCTCTACATCGACAAAACATCTCTAGGCATTGGACGATACAATCAAATGTCCGTACACATAATTGACAAAACATATCAATACCAGTAGGTACACACATTCCAAGATGCGCTAACTGCTCGTTTAGCACAATATTTTAATACTAGGGCTTAACAGAATGCAATTGTATCATTGGTTTTATTTTTATTTGTTTTACACCAGGTCCGGGCATTTGGAGAAAATTCACGGTAGGTCGATAACTGTTGTTAAAAAAAAAAAAAAGAATAATTTCTAATTTTCTATAAAATATGCTGCCCTTTCAACAATAGTCCTATAGACAGTCCTACACCCTACCTGCCTGTCTTTATACAATATGCCTACAGACAGTCCTACACCCAACCTGCCGGACTTTATACAATATGCCTACAGACAGTCCTACACCCTAATTGCTGGCATTTAAACAACAGCCAGTCAGACAGTTTTACTAAGACATTAACACCCTACCAGTGGCTCTTTATTGATTAATTTGATGGTCGTCTCACCCCCCCCCAACCCCACCCCCCTTCCACCATAGAAAAAAATGCATCCATTTTACCTGAGTTCAACCGTCAGGCATGACGCTCGTCTGCTTGACAGCATTTTTTGGTTCACTCTGTACTATTACTATAAAACATGTTGAGTAGGGTGGAGGACCCGCTGTGAAAAGGTAGCAGCCACACCAGAAGCCAAATATATATATAAGGGATGTTGCCCTCAGATTTACTATTCGTATGTTTCAATCTACTGTTTACGTTTATTAACCGTTAATTTGTTAATTAACATAAAATAACATGCACTAATTTCAAATCGTCCACTCATTTATTAAATGAACAAGCCGGCACTTACTTACACGTGTGTAAGAATCTGCATCACGGAGTTTCATATGAACTTTCAACGTAAGCCTTTGAGATTTAATATTAAAGTTTCATCCTCTGGTTTACATACGAAAGTTTAATCCACTGGTTTGAATACGAAAGTTTAATTCACTGGGTTATATTATATACGAAAGTGTAATTCACTGGCTTATATTTAGGCCTTTACGAAAGTTTAATTCACTGGCTTATATACCAAAGTTGAATTCACTGATTTATATACAATGGCTTAATCCACTGAGTTATAATATAAATTTTTAATTCACAGGCTTATATACGAAAGTTTAATCCACTGGTTTATATATTAGGCCTATATACCAAAGTTGATTTCACTGATTTATATACAATGGTTTAAGTTTAATCCACTCAGGTCCACCGAGTTATAATATAAAAGTTTAATTCAAAGGTTTATATACGAACGTTTAATCCACTGGCTTATATACGAAAGTTTAATCCACTGAATTATAGGGCCTATACGAAAGTTTAATCCACTGAGTTATATACGAAAGTTTAATCCACTGAGTTATATACGAAAGTTTAATCCACTGAGTTATATACGAAAATTTAATCCACTGAGTAATATACGAAAGTTTAATCCACTGAGTTATATACGAAAGTTTTATCCACTGAGTTATCATATAAAAGTTTAATCCAATGAACACTATGGCAGGTCCCAGCTAAAATGTAGGCAAACAACACGGTCCAAGCACGGAGTGAATCTAGAGCTTGTGTGTGCCAACACTTCCTTTAACGACAGGAACCTAAAGAAATGGCTCTTCCTTTCATGAATGACACGCATGGGTAGGCCGGGTCTGTTGGTTTGTACATTCATTACAGAGCGAACCAATTTGTGTTGGCCCGCGTACCGGAAAGGTAACTCATGCCTGGGGAGAGTCAACAGAGCCGTCAATTAAGGTCAAAGTTCACGCTCTCGACGCCTGAGACTGTTGTGTTGGGACCGTGCGGTTGTCAAATGTGGCGACTGACGCCAGGATTTTAACGTGTCAGAACTGTCTGGGATTATCTGGTCTAGGCCCATGAATCAGTTGAACCATGTCACTCTTTTCATAATCTCACCCACGAAGCCTGGTGACGGTGCCCGACACGATTTGAGCAGGGGCCGGCCTTACGGTTGCTGGCACCCCGGGAAAGCTTAGCTTTGGCGCCTCCCCCCCCCCGGGGCAACACTGTCCGAGTTGCCGGTACCTTGAGCCGGCCCTGGATGATTTGTATCTGAATAGACCACGTATGTCAAAACTGACGTCGCATGTTGCAGCTATTATTATTTTTTTTTAAATTATGTTTTTAAAAGTCAAGCTGATGAAATAATGCCACAATAACTTAATATTTCTAATATTTTATTTGTCAAATAAAAGAGGTGAACGCTCCAATAACGTAAACCAATAGGCCAGTTTAAGACATTTTTAGAAGTTTTCCAAAGCTTATTTGTAGATGATGTTTCTTTACAGTGGCGAAGCTAGGATTGGTGCATCCCGGGGTGGACCAAGACTTTTGCCACCCCACTCCCACGAAAAAAAAACAAAACCACTGCAGTTACCAGAAAACTCCAACCTTAATATAAAGAAAAAAACTGCCAACCGGGGCGAAGCGCCTTCTCCGCACCGACCCCCCCCCCCTTTGTTCTCCAAGAGTAGTAATCTACTGGTAAAGTACAATATCTGTTTAGGTTTATGGGGCTGCTTGGGTAGACCTATTTACTTTGTTATTTTTTTAAATCAAACTGGAGTTTTGTTAATTTATCTGATGCTGCTCTAGACAAGCTCCGTAGCGAAAGCAACACAAAGTAAACGAGAAAAAGATATATATATATATATATTTTTTTTTTTAAACAGAGATGCTCCAAAATTTCTACTTGGTCACTCTAGGATTACTCCGACGACAGGACTATTCCGGTGGTCAGCAAATCGCGGCTCACGAGCAGAGCCGTTCTTAGGAGTTTGGGGGCCCTAAGCATGGAGCGTAGGTTGGGCACCCCGGAAGGAGGGGGGGTTCCGTGGTTGGAGCTCCCTCGAGCTGAGGAGAAAACACCACCCACCACTGTGGCACCTCCATTCTGCCTTCATCAATGTTTCCTCTTTGCTCGCGTGTAACCACTAACCATATTGATAATTCCGCCACTAGAGAAAATGTGTACTTCTGAAATATATGGACATATATCGAAAGCGCCCCACGGGGGCCCCCTCACGCTCGGGGCCCTACGCGGATGCGTAGTCAGCGTATGCCTAAGAACGGGCCTGTCCCGAGCTGTATTGTGACACTTTAGCGACCTGAGGGCGGCTCGGCCAATCGGCCAAAAATCGGTTTTGACTACAAAAAACATGGTTATTGACAGATTCTTGAAAAGAAATTTGGCTCTCATTTGGCTGCTGATTTTTGGCTCACTTGACTAATGAGTTTGCCGACCACTGGACTTTTCCGACTATATATATAAGACTACTCAAACTAATGGTCTACTCCAACGATAGTACTACCTTGAAGGCCTTCTCAGACTATAGGACTAATCAGAGTATAGACTATAGGACCACTCAGACTATAGGACTAGTCCCAACGATTCTACTCCAGTTACAGGATTCGGACACCAAGGGTCTAACTGTCGTGGTCGTGTGTAAAACAACATCTCAAATATTTATAGAAACGCCTGCGCTCAAGAGTCAAAAGTCTAAAAGTCTAAGCCCGTGACACTTTTTTTTTTCTCCACTTCTTTATTCAAAACGTTTTTCGTGTGTAAAAGTGTCACGCATGAATGCCACTTGAAACACGCCATTCTAAACCACCAAAATATCTGAACCAAAAGGGGGAGCCACTCACCGACCTACTCAAACACAGCTCTTAAAAATATATTTAAAAAAAAAAATTAAAAATCTTTTCACTTCATTTCTGATATAAAGGAAAGGGGAAGGTTGGTTGTTGCGGATTAAAAGTAGAGGAAGTTTAAGTTGTTTGTCTGATGTCTGCTACCTAAAAGCGTCTTTGCTATGTGGTTTATCTACAGGCTGTATACCTAATAAGTGTCACTGCTACGTTGTCTCTGTACAGACAGTTTAAGACGTGTCATTGCTATGTTCTTTCTCTACAGAATGCATGCCTAGTCAATATCAAGCGGTGTGTTTTCTCCGTACAGACTTCACATGCCAAACTAAGGGGACGTTATTGATGGGCAAACTGAATGAGACTTTCAACATGAGCATCAATAGTTTAATGGAAAGTCCATTTAAAGTTGTTACAAAGGTTTGCGTACATCGTCTGTGTCGTACTGACCGACAGCACCTGTGTCTTACTGACCGACATCACATGTGTCGTACTGACCGAAAGCACATGTGTCGTACTGACCGACAGCACCTGTGTCTTACTGACTGACATCACCTGTGTCTTACTGACCGACAGCACACGTGTCTTACTGACCGACAGCACATATGTCTTACTGACTGACAGCACATGTGTCTTACTGACTGACATAACCTGCGTCTTACTGACTGACAGCACATGTGTCTTACTGACTGACAGCACCTGTGTCTTACTGACTGACATCGCCTATGTGTTACTGACTGACAGCATCTGTGTCTTACTGACTGACAGCACCTGTGTCTTACTGACTGACAGCACATGTGTCTTACTGAATGACAGCACCTGCGTCTTACTGACTGACATCACCTCTGTCTTACTGACTGACAGCACATGTGTCTTAATGACTGATATCACCTGTGTCTTACTGACCGACAGCACATGTGTCTTACTGACTGACAGCATATATATCTTACTGACAGCATATGTGTCTTACTGACTGACAGCACCTGTGTCTTACTGACTGACATCGCCTATGTGTTACTGACTGACAGCATCTGTGCCTTACTGACTGACAGCACCTGTGTCTTACTGTCTGACAGCACCTGTGTCTTACTGAATGACAGCACCTGCGTCTTACTGACTGACATCACCTTTGTCTTACTGACTGACAGTATATGTATCTTACTGACAGCACATGTTTGTGTCTTACTGACTGACAGCACGTGTCTTACTGACAGCACATGTGTCTTACTGACAGCACCTGTGTCTTACTGACTGACAGCATATGTATCTTACTGACAGCACATGTGTCTTACTGACAGCACATGTGTCTTACTGACAGCACATGTGTCTTACTGACTGCCGCCTTCTGTTTTTCTCTCTAAATGCAGAACCCTCTTTTGCAGAAAAGGGGACAGAATGGGACAAGCCATTGTTTTAAAAACACAATTTTACGACGTGAAAACTTTGAAATTGAAAAAAACAAAACCTTTTAACTCCAAGAGAGGACATCAAGCTGCTTGAAATCCTCTCGATATTTTAAAAAAAAATCTTGAAATAGAAAATATCTGAGGACAAAGTTTTTTGTCTTTATCTCTTTGCTTGCGTCCAATTTCAATACGGCAAAAACGAAGATAGAAATAGATGGAGTTTATATGACATTAGAATTATGGGATAGAAAATGGCAGAAATCTTTAAGCAGCAAAATTAGAGAAGTATGCAGGAATGTTGTTAACAAAACCAAGAAGAAGGGAGGGAAATCATGGCCTTTCTTTGCTGAGAGGGAAATTGTGGCCTTTACTTAGCTTGGAGGGAAATCATGGCCTTTACTTAGCTGGGAGTGAAATCATGGCCTTTACTTAGCTGGGAGTGAAATCATGGCCTTTACTTAGCTGGGAGTGAAATCATGGCCTTTACTTAGCTGGAGTGAAATCATGGCCTTTGCTTAGCTGGGAGTGAAATCATGGCCTTTACTTAGCTTGGAGGGAAATAATGGCCTTTACTTAGCTGGGAGTGAAATCATGGCCTTTACTTAGCTGGGAGGGAAATCATGGCCTTTACTTAGCTGGGAGTGAAATCATGGCCTTTCTTAGTTGGGAGGGAAATCATGGCCTTCTTAGCTGGGAGGGTAAACATGGCTTTACTTTTCCGGGCTTGAGAAAAAAATCAAGAATGTGTTACTGGAGCATGTCAGTGTTTACTGGTTGTAATGAAAGTAGAATGTGGTTACTGGATTATGTCAGTGTTTACTGGTTGTTATAAAAGTAGAATGTGGTTACTGGACCATGTAAATTAAATGTTTGCTGGTTGTAATGAAAGTAGAATGTGGTCACTGGACCATGTCAGTGTTTGCTGGTTGTAATGAAAGTAGAATGTGGTCACTGGACCATGTCAGTGTTTGGTGGTTGTAATGAAAGTAGAATGTGGTCACTGGACCATGTCAATGTTTGCTGGTTGTAATGAAAGTAGAATGTGGTCACTGGACCATGTCAATGTTTGCTGGTTGTAATGAAAGTAGAATGTGGTCACTGGACCATGTCAGTGTTTGCTGATTGTGATTGACATAGAACGGTTTTTGGCAATACTAGATTGTTGGGAGGCAAGTTACATCAATGACGTCACTTTGAAGAAACGATAAATTGTTAAGTTGTATTACACGGTAGTTTCTACGCCAGGACATAGTAGGCACACGGCTTTCACATTAGGTAGGTACACACAGCCATCTCACTAGATAGGTACGGCCATCTCACTTGGTAGGTGCACACGGCCATGTCACTTGGTAGGTGCACACGGCCATCTCACTAGGTAGGTCATCTCCCTAGGTAGGTGATTACGGCCATCTCACTAGGTAGGTGCACACGGCCATCTCACTTGGTAGGTACACACGGCCATCTCA